ATGTGGGGAGTGGGTGAGCCTCGCTGGACCTTGGGGAGTTAGGGGACCCCCGCCGAATGGGAGCAGGGAGGGCTTCATGGAATCTGGGAGGGGTGGGAGCTTGTTGGAATCTGGAGTGGGTGACTCGCTGGAATCTGGGGTGGGTGACTCCCCTGCTGAAATGTGGGGAGTGGGGTGAGCCCTGCTGGAATCTGGGGAGTGGGGTGACCCCTGCTAAAATGGGGGGGAGTGGGGTGACCCCTGCAGAAGCAGGTGTTTTGGTGCAGATAAAAGGCCCTTTAGAGGAGAGGGCTGCTGACCATGTCCTCAGCAGCGAAGATGAGCCCAGGGTGAGGTTTTCTGTTGTCCCATCCCAGGTGGTGCCGGCAGTCAACCCAGGAGAACCGCCAGGGGTCGGAGCTGCTTCCTCCCTTCGCTTTGGGCAGTGCTCAGTAACCGTGGCTGGTGCTCCCTGACACTGACAGGACCTGGACGGTCACACAAAATACCTGCATGTCCCCTCTCGCTCTTCACGCTGACTGAAGCATGAGATTGCAAAAAATATAGATGGCTTCTCTCTTTCCTCCCTTGATCTTATATATCCTTAGATCAAAAAACTTAAAACTTATTTATAAACATGAAACTCACTGTGTGTAGAAAACCATTTCTTGTCTAGCCAGAGAGGCACCTGCTTGAGCTGTCTCTGACAGAGAATCCCCACGGGGCTGGCTGGCTTTCATGAACTCTGACTCCAAGGGTATCTCCATGCCAGTGCCCAGACGGCTCTGTCCCACTGCACCGTTTCACACACCACTCTGTTCCACCCTTCTCACTACGCCCTGGCCTGTTCATAACTGGGAAGGGTCCTGAGAGCAAATCATGGATCTGATGCCAACCAGAGCCCACAAGCTTCATAGTCCATAAAGGTGGACACTGTGCATGGTGTCTGAGTCCCAGGACAGCGGGCTCAGGCCCTCTATACCATCTCCAACAGGCTCCAGCCTGAGAGAGCCCTGCCAGGCGGGCACGCCCAGTGGGGACAGAATGCTTCTAACAGGTGGGGCTTGCAGGGGGCACTTCCAGCGTCTGGAGCAGCTGCATGTCCCTGTGGTGGTGGACGGGCTGTGTGCTGCTCTCTGCCAGCCTGTGTGTGGTCTCCTGGACCTCCTGGTCCACTCTCCCTTCTTTTCTGGCCTGTGCCTACTCACCCCTTCATTCTTTCTCAGAGAGGCCTTTCTTCTCAAAGTCCGCTCTCCTGAAGGCTACAAAAGCAGGCCTGGATCCTGGCTCTGCCACTTCCTAAGTGGCCCTGGGCCAGTTACTTACCCCTTTGGTCTCACTTTCCTCATCTGTGTAACAGGCACAATGGCAGTCCCACCTTGCAGGGCTGGCATCTACATTAAATGACTTCAAGTCAGTGAAGGACATAGCAGGGATTGGCGCACAGTAAGAGCTACATAGACACCAGCTGTGTACACAGTTGCAATAGACATTGCTTGAGTAAATTCTGTTTAATGCCCACCTCCCCACATTGGACTAAAGCATGTAGTGCTGCGTCCCTGCCATTGTTTGCCTGTGGACACGTGACGGGCGTGTATGAGGGGGTGAGCCCAGGAATGAATGAATGCACGTAAGGTGATGGCGGCAAGGGCCTCAGGGCTGCAGGCCAGTTGGTGCCCTCCTAGAGGCTGCTGTGTTTTGCATAGCTTGGTCTGAGTGGGGAGCATTGCTCTTCTGGAGGGGACTTTCCCCCAGCTGCATGTCCAGCAGAGCACGTGGAGAGGCAGCTTCCGATGGCACACACAGCACATCTTTGGTGAACGTTCATCGTGCACTTCTGTGTGTGGGTTGCTCTCCTAGGTCCATTCAGCTCTGCTTGGTGGGTTTTCACCACACTACCCACTCCAGAAATGAGGAAACAGAGGTTTCGCATGGTGAAGGTGCCTGGCCAGGGGCACGGAGCTAGGAGGGAGGGACGTTTGTTCTGCTTCCCACGCCCTGTCTTCTCCCTGCAGGCCACATCCTCAGAATTTGGCACCCTCTTTCCTGTCACCCTCCTGTTGTCCCGATGAGAGGATGGGAGGGCAGGAACCTTGAGAAAAGCCAGGTAGCACAGAGACACCATCTAGACCAGAGAATGCAGCCCTTGCTGTTCCCTTTTCTTTTTCTCTCGCCTCCCTCATCTGATGCTGTAAACCTGCCCCCGGGATGCGAAGTTCTCGGAAGGGGTGAGCCGTAGGCTTGTTTAACTGCTCTGAAGGAGGACTCCCCGCAAGAAGCTGCCCCCTCACCCCTCTCACGTCTGTGCCACAGACCTCCCTCTCCTCACTCACGTGTGAAGGGCGTCCGGAAGGAGCTTGTGTAAACCACTGGCTCCATCAGCAAAACACCATTCCCTCCACTGGGCTGTTCTGGCAACATGTTGTTAAGGCTGAGAGCAGCTGGATTTGAACCAAGTGCTTAAGCTACAAGACTTAATAGCTCTTATTCCTCCCTTAAAGCACATACGTTTCCTCACATTGTACTTTGTGGTTTCTTCCACCAGCAATTCATATCCCCATTACGACAAAGCCCACCCCTTTAGAATAGCATTTAGGTGGGATGGGATCTCACAAATGGGAGCAATTCAGATGTGTCCTTTGGAATCCAAGGCTGAGGTGGATCACATAGCAACCTCTTTGTGTCTGTGAACAGCAAGCAGATCCTTAAGGTCCAGCCTCCAGCCCAGGGTTCACAAAGGTGTTCACTGACTGCAGACATGTGCGTACCAGTCAACCCTTCTTTCTCGGCCCCCTTTCTGCAAGTACAGCCTGCACTCTTACTTGTTATAAACACTTGGAAGTTCAGCAAATCCTTATCTCCAGAAAAATGCAATGACAGCCTCAGGGTCTGGATTTGTGTGTTTGCATGGCTCTGCTGGCCTGTGGAAATATGTGGAGCTATTTTCCCATCCTGGAGGCCAGGATCTTGCAGGAAGGCAGGGGCAGCAAGGTTGGGCGTCATCTTTTCATCCCAAGGTAGTTAAAAGGTGAAGTCAATGCACTATCAGGATCTCCTCCAATTTCTGTCTTGTGAAATATTTGAGTCATGAATCACAGAGCAGGTGATCAAGGGACACTTGGTTCTGTCTTAAAATTATCTCTTACATATGAAGAACAAGATCAAATTATTTTTGTGTGGATTTATTTAACTAAACACTGATTGAATGCAAGGGCCTGATGAGAAAGCCACAGTCCTGGTGGGCTCAGAGACAGAGGCTGCCTGAGGGTAGAGAATGTTTAAATGTTGGATTCTGACCTCAGCCCTCATGAAATTTTGAATCTGCAGTCTGTACCGTTCTGTCTGTATAGTATAAAATATTTTCTTATTTCAATTGAGAAACTCTCTCATGAAGAATATTACAATTATTAGCATATTTACATTTTCCTTATGATATTAAAACCTGCACAGAAATATTCAGAAATATTACCAAAATATGATCATTTCCCGTCAAAAGTAGAAAATACATTCTGCCTCTTTCGGGAACACATGATAAAAATAAACTGATGACTAAGAAGCTTAAGCTCTTTAAGAAATCTGGATTTGTAAAGAGATGGTCCAAAAGGCAGAAACAAGGGAAGGAGGATTTTGAGAACTTCAGGAAGTGGCCACACAGTGGGGTTAGCTTTGTATCCAGAGGGATTCTCACCAAGAAAAACCTTGCGTTGCAAGGCCTGGAAACAACGTAATATGTAACCAAATGGTAACAGTAACAGCCGGGAAAGAGAGAAGGGCTGGCTTTGATAGATGAACCAGGAGAATTGTGTTCCTTTTTATCCCCTGGGGACAGCAAATTCCCAAACGCATATTATTTAGTTATTTTTAGATATGCAGCCAGCAAGGAAACCGCTGAGAACATTCCCGTGTAAATCCTCATTCAGCTTTCCTGAAGTCAGCATTGTCTGATGAGTACCTGTTACAGAGGAGGGTTTGGGATGGCTGCACTGTGTTCCTTCATGGGAACCACTGACGTGTGTTCAGGGGTGTCTGGGCAATGCGACCCCGAGGCAGCGTCCGCCAAGAGTGCCGGAGGATGGATGGCGCCTCCAAGTTCCTCCGTTTTCTCTGCTATCCAATGAATTGCTTGTAAATTTCCTGCCACATTACTATTGCATTTCCCAAACATAAGATAAGCATCCTCAAAATGTCATAAGCTATATTTTTAATGTGAATGTTGGTCTGTATTTCTGTCATATTCAACATTGTAAAAAAGAAAACAGAAACAAATAATGTCAAGTTCCAAAATGTTTCTGCTGAGGAGTTTTACTGGGCGTGTCTATGGCTATGGGAACTCCAACTTAATTCTGAACAGAATATTCAACTGCCAACAAACTCTGAGAAGAACCGTTTTTATTTCTCAAGTAGGTATACTAATGATGAGGGGGAAGTGGATCTGTATAGTGGCGTCAGTCTGTGGGAGGAGAAAGAACTACACTTTCTATTTGTAATATACATCTTTCAGCATCATATAAACATTCAAACTTGGTCGCACATTACTTAGTAGATTTTCAATAGTCTACAAAAAGGTAGTTCCTCACCATTCTCCTCTATAAATCAGAATCAAGCTGAAATCAGGGTTTTTAGTTATCTTTGGTTGTGTAATGTCTTAAGATTTTAAAAACATTTCCTTTTTTACCTAATTCACTTCAGTACCCCGACATGGGTATGTATGTTATAGTTATGATGACATTTTTCAGGTGAAGAGACTGTAATATATTGGGTTTTAAGGTCTTCTATACATGTGCAACCCCTTAGCACCTGAAGTAGAAGCTAATCTTTTGTTGCTGAGTCCTGGGTCTGCAAGTTTACGTGACAGTGTCCCCTCAGGGTACTAGACAGCTTGCAGAATTTAAGTAGAAAATGCCAAAGCACTGAAAATTAATCAAAATGGAGCAAAAACATGTGCGTAACTTAATTTGTGATGACTATTTAAGAGTCCAAAATAATTTCATTTCACTCCACTCCTTAATTTTCTCTTCTAGGTTCCATAAATGAAAAGTTACCGCAACGCGAAGGCACAGGAAAAACAGGTAACTATCTTAGAATAAATGTCTGTGATGATATACAACATCTAATTTAACCTATCCTGTGAAATAACTTCTCAAGTTTGAACATCCACTAGTGACAATGATGACAGCCGAGCCAGTTACTTCTTTATTCATTCAGCAAGTGCCATTCACTCTTACGATCACCAGCTCCACTGGGTCTGTACTCTGCTGGGATCACTGGTGTTGGGCCTGTGCTCTGTGGCTTGTTTCGGGACCATCAGCAGACACTGTTAGGACCGCCTGGAGCCTCCCAGTCTGTGACTGTGGAGAGGGCTGAGGCTCAGTGTTTTGGCTCCCTGTGGGATTCTAAACCATTGCAGTTATTGAGGACCCTGATCAAGAAGCCTCAACTCCTCCCTACAAGGAGGAGGAGGAATCGTTTTTTCTACCTACTGCAATCACTGCCTCTGAGACTGGCGCAAACAAGAGCCGAACAAAACCCTTAAACTTAAGCATCATATCACAGCCTGTGGGTCCTGTTTTGGGGTCTGTCACGTGCCCACCACCACTCCCCCGGGAAAGTCTCCATCCCCTTCTCCGCCCTTGCCTCGGCCAACACCCTTCAGTACCAGGACACATTTCTGCTTTTCTCCTACATCAGCCTTTAAAGTCAGAGGTTGTTTTCAAGATGACAGTGTAGTGAACCAGTAACGAACACAAGTAATATAAAGACAGACCAGGCCAAGGCAGGCAGATCACCTGAGGTCAGGAGTTCGAGACCAGCCTGGCCAACATGGTGAAACACCATCTCTACTAAAAATACAGAAATTAGCCAGGTGTGGTGGCACATGCCTGTAATCCCAGGTACTCAGGAGGCTGAGGTGGGAGAATTGCTTGAGCCCAGAAGATGGAAGTTGCAGTGAGCCGAGATTGTGCCACTGCACTCTAGCCTAGGTGACAGAGTGAGACTCTGTCTCAAAAAAAAAAAAAAAAAAAATTCGGAGTTTTATTCAACCAGTCCCTTCTGCATGTGTGGAAACTGTGGTGAGGCCCGTCCCTGCCCTGAAAGATCCTTTGCAAAAAGAGTTCTGTATTACTAAGACACAGACATGTTGGAGGGACAAGCTGGTATGAGAGTAAATGTCAGGCTGTCCAGAGGGCGCCTGCCAAGAATGAGGCAGGAGCAGCTTCCTGGAAGGGGAAATATGTAACAGGTGTGAGCTGGGACAGAAGAAACCTCACCATCAAGGAAGATAGCTCATTTTCCAGCTGAAAAATGATGACAGGCATAATGGGGACACTGGGTTGGGAGAGGGTTTATGTTTAGAAAGGAAGGGATAAAGTTGCATAGAGCAATAGTGAGCTGCGTGAATTGAGTCAAGAAGATAATGGGGTGGACATGTCGACATTTGTAGAGAAAGGAAGGGACAATCTCATGACTAGAAAAATTAATCAAATGTGGAAAGGGAGGAGGAGACGGAAGGATCATCTTCTTTCGGAGGCCATTTCCTAATCCTGTTTATTATGATATTTATTGTACCCACTGTAAAAAAAAATCTAGAGGAATTAGTACATGGGCATGAAAGTGAGTTAAGGAAAGAACATGCCCCCCACTTTAGGCCTGAATACGCAGAGGGGATACCTGGATTAAGCAACAGAGCTGGTTTCCAGACACAAATAAGACGAGACACTTCACAGACTCTGATAGAGGGAAAATAAAAACTGCACAGGCTCTTCGAGATTTTTGTTTTATTTCTGTAAGGCTGACTTCAGCAGCCACCAATGGCCTTGTTCTGTTGGGACAGAGCCACCCCATCTGTGAGGGACGGGGGCATGGAGCAGGGCCTATGATGACCGTGCTGAGGGGGAAGCATGGACAGGGCAGGAAGGGGAACAGCCTCTGGTGCCCAGAATCAGGGCTGAGAGGAGGAATGGACAGTGGGCCTGTTAGTCACCCTGTCCCCAGACCACACCTGCCCTCCCTGCTTGCCGTTCAGGCTGAGCTTTCAGACTGGCCTGGCCCCAGTGACTGGGGAATGGGCTGGTGGCCTCAGAGTGGTGACTTGGTGAGGCCTCAGCAAAAACACACAACAGTAATAATGTATTTGATTGTCCTCATTCCAAAAAATTTCAAATATGTTATTTTAAGACTTTTTGTATGTTCTTGTGTTTAAAATATGTTTCCCATTTTGTTTTATTTTCTTGGAAGAAGATTGTAAAATATTCAACCACAAAATATTCCTAGTTTATTGTTATTATCAGTGTTAGACTTGGATATTTCAAATAACTGATGTTACATTTTTGTCAGTATTTTGATAGCTAGCAAACTGTTTTCGAGAGATTGCTCAATGTTAAAATTTTTTGAAAATCTGTTTTGATTTTCCCCCTAAAATAAAGTCTTATGACAGACTTTATTCTTTAGACCACTGGGAAGTTCGTGACTTAGTTATCTACATAAGTCTTATGGCTGGACCTCATCTTTGCCACTTTTTCCTGTATTTCAGTCCAAAAGTTACTATTTAACAAAATGATATAAGCAAGCTTCACTGAAAAAAAAAAAGGATGATCCTGAGAGCACCACAGTGCCCTGTGATTGCTTCCCGGGTGGGGCCCTGAGTGTCTGGAGGACTCCTGGCTAACAGGACTGCCATTCTGCCAGGTCTCTGAGCCACTTAAAACCTCTTACTTTACCAGGGAACCCAACATGTGTGTGTCAATTAATCAAATACAGATTCTCCACTTGGAAAATGCAAGTCCATGAGTGGTGCAGGGGCCTGTGACACCCCAGCCCGCCCTTTCCTCCATTGGCTGATAACTTTCGCCCTGTCCCCTCCACCCCATGCGCCCCTCAGATCCTCGCTTAGATTATTCCACGGCAGCAGTGGTGAGAGGGAGGGCCAGAGGTGTAGAAGGGGGTCCAGAATTCTCCAGCCCTTGCCTTTCTCTTGGGGAAAACAGAGGGCGTGTTAAGGGGACATGGCTCTGCTCAACCCCACCCCAGTCCCTGCCAAGCCCTCTTCTGTAACCTCCGGTGGCCCGAATTTATGACTTCTCTTTCCCAGGGCTAGACTTTCTTTACTCTGAATTATTTTGATTCCTTCCTCATCTGCCCTATGGCCTGTCATTGGCTCTGAGAGTTTAGAACTGATCGGATGTTTTCCACGCGTAAGTTAGGTCAGTGTCTAGCCTGGAGCATTTTAAATAGCAGCTGACTGGAGAGTGGGAGCGGATGGCGCAGGCAGCATCCGGTCGGGTCTGTGTGGGGTTGCGTTATGGTTGATCTGTGGGGACTGAGTGGAAGTCCTCAGCATCCACCCGCACGCACACTTACTTCACTTACTCTCATAATTGTAGTCTCCTTGCAAATCTTTTCCGTTCTGAATTCAGATGATGCCGCGGCTCCGGCGTTGGAGACTCAGCCTCAAGGAGATGAAGAAGGTGAGCCGGGGGCGGGGATCGCACAGTTTGGGTTGGGGAGGAGCGCGAGGGATGGCGCGGAGCTGGGAAGTGGGGCGAGTCATCCTGTTAGAGCTCCTTTCAGTAAGGAGTGTAACATGCCAGACACAGAAATGACCACATGATCTCACTTATGTGTGGAATCTATTAAGAAACAAACAGGCCGAGCGCGGTGGCTCGAGCCTGTAATCCCAGCACTTTGGGAGGCCGAGACGGGCGGATCACGAGGTCAGGAGATTGAGACCATCCTTGCTAACCCGGTGAAACCCTGTCTCTACTAAAAAATACAAAAAACTAGCCGGGCGAGGTGGCGGGCGCCTGTAGTCCCAGCTACTCGGGAGGCTGAGGCAGGAGAATGGCGTGAACCCGGGAAGTGGAGCTTGCAGTGAGCTGAGATCCGGCCACTGCACTCCAGCCTGGGCGACAGAGCAAGACTCCGTCTCAAAAAACAAACAAAACAAACAAACAAACAAACAAAACCCCAACAGTGAGAAGAAGGAAACAGCAAGCCAAAAGGTTGTCACCAAGGGTAGGGTAGGATGGAGAAAATAGAGAGATGAGGTCAGAGGTTGCAAAGCTGCAGTTATGTGGGATGGACAAGTCCACACATCCAGCGTACAGCACAAGGAATCTAGTTAATGATGAAATGACAATGGATGGCATCCCACACATCCAGCCCATAGCACGAGGAATATACTTAATGACAAAATGACAATGGATGGCATAGTAAACATTTCCTAACCACACACCCGTGAAGTAACTGTGACATGCTGGGAATGTGAATTGCTTGGCTGTGGATATAATTTCACTGGGTAAATGTGTATGTAAACATCATGATGTTAGACAGGGATAAGAGAGCAAACTCACAAGCAGAAACGGACTGCGTGTGGCCGTGTCCAGCCTTATGAGGGCACCCGCTGTTTTTCCTGATGTCTTTGGAGCGAGGGGTTTTCCGATATCGCCATGTCACCTTCTCATGAGGGTTTCGTTAAATACACATTTCTAAGTTGAAATTTTACAGTTTGGATAATATAAAATGTATGGCCATTTTCCCTGTTTACATTTCACATCTTTACAAGTGGTCATAACAAGGATAGATTTCCTGTTTTTACCTTTAATACATTGTCTTAGGTATTTACTAACGTATAAAAAATTACCAGGTCAAAGGGGACCAGGGTTAAAAGGCAAAGTGTAAGGAATACACAGTATAAATTAACAAAACATGCCGGGCGCAGTGGCTCACGCCTGTAATCCCAGCACTTTGGGAGGCCGAGACGGGCGGATCATGAGGTCAGCAGATCGAGACCATCCTCGCTAACACGGTGAAACCCCGTCTCTACTAAAAATACGAAAAACTAGCCGGGCGTAGTGGCGGGTGCCTGTAGTCCCAGCTACTTGGGAGGCTGAGGCAGGAGAATGGCGAGAACCCGGGAGGCGGAGCTTGCAGTGAGCCGAAATCGCGCCACCGCACTCCAGCCTGGGAGACTGAGCAAGACTCCGTCTCAAAAAATAAATAAATAAATAAATAAATAAACAAAACATTAAAGTGTAGAACTGCATTATGCTTTGCAAATAATAATAATGGTGACTAATGCTGCATGGCCCTACGTGCTACACAATGTGGGCTCTGCTGCTGTGAGTCCCTGGGCCTTCTGAATGCCCTTCTGCAAATAAGAGCCCTGTGGCAATTGACCCAAGTCCGTCTGGGTGTAAATGGCAAACAGCATTCAGACCCAGACGTCTTCTTCAGGCTCTTCAGGGTCTGTGCTCTCACACACAAACGGAAACCTGCCCTTTTTTCCTTTTTTTTTTTTTTTTTTTTTTTTGAGATGGAGTTTCGCTCTTGTTGCCCAGGCTGCTAGAGTGCAATGATGCGATCTCAGGTCGTTGCAACCTCCATCTCCCGGGCTCAAGCGATTCTCCTGCCTCAGCCTCAGGAGTAGCTGCGACTACAGGCACCTGCTACCACGCCTGGCTAATTTTTTTTTTGTATTATTAGTAGAAATGGGTTTTCACCATGTTGACCAGGCTGGTCTTGAACACCTGACCTCAGGTGATCCACCCGCCTCAGTCTCCCAAAGTGCTGGGATTACAGGTGTGAGCCACCACACCCGACCTATTCAATCCTATTTGTTAAACAAGATTACTACAAAAGGGGTGTTCCTAAAAAGTTTCAGGCAAAAGTTATATTTCACATATTGCATTTTATATTGAATCTTTCAATGGAGTGAAAATGTTCTATGTTGTGTGAATAGCCATTTTAACTACACAAGGATATCTTTTTGTACATTGGGTATTTTTCTAAAATCTGATTCTTTTAAAGTGAATTCTGTCTAGACCCAAAGAGCTTTTAACTATACTTTTGGATATAGAGAAGAATGCCAAAAATATTTCAAACGTATGTTATGGTTTCCTTTTGTCTCATGCATATAACCATTAGAACTATTTCTTGACAAGTGTACAATGTGAGTTATATTGATTTATTTTAGCTTTCAGACTGCTTGCTGCACTGTGTGACTAAGGAGCATCGTGCGTTCATGATGAATTAAAAATGCTTATCATTTCATTTTGGTTCATAGATATTGCATCACGTTACCCTACCCTTTGGACTGAACAGGTTAAAAGTCGGCAGAACAAAACCAATAAGAATTCAGGTAAGACGCTGCCTGATATCACTTTGTAAGGAGGGATTTAATAGATGTAGAAAATGATGGTTTTTTTGGAGTTAAGTGTTTTGTACAGTTGACCCTTGAACAACATGGGGGTGAGGGGCACAGACCTGGCACAAACATCTGAGGATAACTTTCAACTCCCCCCAAAATAATAGCCTATTGTAGACTGGCAGCCTTACCAATAATACAGTTAGTTAACACATATTTCGTATGTTATATGTATTATATATTGAATTCTTATAAAAATAGAGAAAATATTATTAAAAATCATAAGGAACAGAAAATATATTTACTATTGGTTACGTGGAAGTGGATCATCATAAAAGTCTTCGTCCTCCTCATCGTCTTCACGATGAGTGGGCTGAGGAGGAGGAAGAAGAGGAGGGGCTGGCCCTGCTGTCTCAGAGTGGCCAAGGCGAAGGAAACATCCTTGTAACTGTGGACCCATAACATCAGAAACCTGTTGTTCAAGGGTCCGCTGTAAATACTTTCACTTGGTTACTCAGTCATGAAAATAATTCCGATTATTTGATCACCAGCATATATTTTAACATTTGGCATTTGAAAATTAAATTTTCTAAAGTCTTTAAGAGATTTCTCTGTAGATGGCAAACAAACTATAGCTTTAGGTATAAATTGGAGATGTTTGTTAATAAGTAAATAATTATAAATTTGCTTCTGGCCTGATTTCAGAGATGTTAAAAGACTTTGCTAGTTTAGTTTAAAATCCTCCAAATGGTGTGCATTTTGTTTGCTCTAAAACAGTGTTTGAGAGAACGTTTACCTTTTAAAGCCGACTATTTTGACATTTGGAAGACTAGTAATGGGTTGCTTTGTCTTTGGTTAATGATTTTGACTGTTTTCATGGAAAAGGGTCTGTTCTGTAATTTTCATTTAGGCTCTCAGTTGATTGCATGTGTGTTTCTCATTGCCTTTTCAAATGAGGATTTCACAGATTCTTACTGAAGGGAAGCAGTCGTGTAGGTTTAAAGTAGTTCAGCTGCTGAGGAAATACGGCGTTAGTAACAGCTTGGATTTTCTACGATCAGCTTTGGGTGAAAAAAATTGCAAATATTCACAGAGGCTGCTTATGCATTAAAACTTTATCTGTGGTTATGCATCCGTATATTCTTCTGCTTACAAAAGAAATCAAAAGGTTTATTAAAGTTCAGGATACTAAGAGTGGTTCAATTCTCTCTTCACCCACCTATGCCTCTTAGAGATCCAACCTAAAAAGGACCCTTGAGGGAAGTGCCTGAGTCCCCTTAAGCCAGCAGCCACCTCAGAACCCCATGGCAAGTCTATGGTGGGCCTGCCCACTGATTTTCACCTGTAAAACTCACGTGGCGCAATGCCAAATGAGCTGGCACAGGTCCAGTGTGTGATTTCTGCCCCATGATACTCTTAAATCACTGTCTCCAGCCCCAGAGTCTTAGCTGTGTGGCATCTTCTTGTTACTTTACCCTTCTGGGCTGAGATGAGGAAGAGCACACCCCAAAGGCTCCCCACCGTCTACAGGCACACATGGCAGAAACATTTAACACCTATTTATAACATTTTTCTCAGAAATGCTTGTTATAGATGAATTTTTCCTATTGTATGGAGATATTAATCCCATTACATGTCTCATGCACTTTTGACACTGGGTTTTGTTCAATTTTGTCACCCCACTTTAAAAAGCTATTTTATTTGATTTATTTCTGTTTCATACCAATTTGTATATGAGAGATTAATTAAAACACTATATGTTTCAGGTTTACTGGTTGATGTGGTTGGGCATTGTGTCCCCACCCAAATCTTATTTTGAATTGTAATCCCTATACTCTGCACCTGCTAGTGGAGAGACCAGGTGAAGATAATTGAGTCTTGAGGGCGGTTTCCCCCGTTCTGTTCTCATGATAGTGAGTGAGTTCTCACGAGATCTGATGGTTTTATAAGGGGCTCTAACCCCTTCGCTGGGCACTTCTCCTTCCTGCTGGCTTGTGATGAAGGTGCCTTGCTTCCCCTTCACCTTCTGCGTGATGGTAAGTTTCCTGAGGCCTCCCCAGCCATGCTGAACTGTGAGTCCATTAAACCTCTTTCCTTTATAAATTGCCTAGTCTTGAGGAGTTCTCTATAGCAGGATGAAAATGGACTAATACACTGGTAGATCTTGAAAACTATTGGAGAATAAATATGTTAGCACCTAAACTTAATTTGAAAAACAAATGTAAAATTCTTGTAAATGATTTTACTGGAAATATACATTATTTTATTTTATTTTATTTTATTTATTTTGAGAGGAAGTCTTGTTCTGTCACCTAGGCTGGAGTACGGCAGTGCAATCTTGGCTCACTGCAACCTCCGCCTCCTGGGTTCAAGCAATTCTCCTGTCTCAGCCTCCTGAGTAGCTGGGACTACAGGCACCCACCACCACGCCTGGCTAATTTTTGTATTTCTAGTAGAGATGGGGTTTAACCATGTTGGCAAGGCTGGTCTCGAACTCCTGGCCTCAAGTGATCTGCCTGCCTCAGTCTCCCAAAGTGCTGAGATTATAGGCGTGAGCCACTGTGCCAGGCTAGGAAATACACATTTTTTTAAAGCCAATGTAACTATTTCAGGCTTTGGCAGATTAAGCTCCATGTAAGCTTGTGGAAGAAGAACATTTCTGTGTCTCACCTCTCACTTGCCACTTGCAGATTTCCAAGACTTCACGTGACCTGCCAATTATAATTAACCAGTAAAAACTGAGCAGGCTTTTGGTATTTAGTGGGACTGAAAATAATGTTTTAGGAAATTCCAGTTTACAGAAGTTACCCCACACTATAATTTGATTTAAGTCAGCCGAGATGAGTGGAGCACGAAAGATGGCATTGAGTTGACTTACAGGCACAGGGCGTGAAGCTACTGGACTCTGTGTTTAATACCAGTTTTCCAGCTACACGTTCTTTCTGAGGGGCTGAAGAAACACCTAGTTGGTATTTTAGGACGTTAAAAATAATAATTAATTTATTAAGTTTTAACAATGAAATGACAAGCAATCATAGGATATATATAGTGACCACTGTTTTTGACATTTCAAATATCAGAAGAGTGTCATTTATACTTAATTTTTACTTTAAAAATATACTTTTACTTATAATCATCTTTGGTACATGTAGACACATTCATTTGAGAAAATGTAAATAATTTTTGACAATTATTTGGGTATTTTTAAAAATTTACCTAGCTTGTCAGTACTTTTTCATGTTCTTTTATAAAAAAGGGCCAAACTGAAAATGCATTGCTTTTTGTTTCTCTCTTGTTTCTTTATATCAGTTAAAAGTAGTATTTTTCCCCATGAATTTGTATGAAAATAATGTAATGTGACTTTTGTTACTGCAGACATAGAATATGGTTGCCATGCATCTACATGCCTATGTGTACACTAGGAAGATGTGGTCCATATGCTTTGGAGCATATAATGATAGTAGTTTTCTTAAAAGGGACTATTCTTACAAAGGAAAATAAAATACTTCTACTCTGAAAATTTGCACATGGTAGCTACACAATAAAATCATGCCTTCTGTGGGGTTTGAATCAAATTGGGATCTGTAGCTCAGGCAGAATTCCTTCATACCCAGGCCAGATTGGATTTAGATTGGCAAAGAACCCTCCCTCACCACCAGCCTGTTGCTCACCCTAGGCCCCAGCAGAGAGCCCACCGAGCGTGGCCCCTCACTGCCCTCTGAGATGCTCTGCAGGTGTTGAGTGACGGCACTTGAAAATTTGCACATAGTAGCCACACAATAAATATGTATTAAATTAATAAAGAGTTATACCAGCATATGTTCCACGGGCCCTATTGTAGCATCATTACTCTTTTTAAAACAAGCTGAATGAAACAAACAAAATAACCAAACTGATAAATAACTGGAAAACAGAGAATCTAGGCACCCCTAGAGGTTGCCTATTAGACTTATATTGATTTACATTTAATAAATATATAAGTCAAACATTCTCTTGGCTCATTTAGTAAGAAAATCATCACTTTCATCACATGAATCAATATACATTAAATAGATGAGTAAAATCTGAAGTTGCCTGTTACTTAAAAGTGCATTACTCCATTTTTCCCATCAATATAAAATTGTGTTAATTCTTTTACTGTCTCAAATAATCTTTGTTTTATTACTCTTTTCATAGAAGATACATAAACTAGTTACAAGATTTTATCAGATAAGACATTTTGTAAGATACAGTCTTTTAATTATGTAAGATTTAAACAAATGTAAATTGAATTAGTACTCTTCCCTACTGGCATATTAAGTACTCTCTAGATTTCTGCCTGATTTCTTTTAAAACCAATCTAAAATATTGAAGAGGAGACTGCAACTTCTTTTCTTACTTGAGCCAGCTACCAACATCTTCACAAAATAACACTCTTCATGAATTACAAACACCGAGGTGCTTAGGGTTACATAACCCATTCATAATAAAACACATCTCCTCTAGACAAAAAAGCGTATAATCGTGGCACGTCAAAGCCAGAAGGGCTCTGTCTCTGGGGCGAGGAGGCATCCAGGCTCACAGGACGGTTTCTGTATCATGGGTGCCGTTTGCCACCATTTGCCGTAGTGACAGGACCCAAGGGAAGGAGCATTCAGAAATAATGGGAAGATAGAGAACGTGTGGAAGGCCAGCTGTCTCACATTTTGGTAGGACGATTATTCAGTGGGATGAGTCAGTGAAAACTCACGTTTGAACTACGTGTGCTGTGTACATCACCCGTTCCCCACCAGGTATCAGTGTTTTTCACATTTTGGTAGGATGATTATTCAATGGGATGAGTCGGTTAAAACTCACGTTTGAACTGTGTGTGGCGCCCGTTCCCCACCAGGTATCAGCGTTTTCCACATTTTGGTAGGAATTATTCAATGGGGCGAGTGGATTAAAACTCGCATTTGAACTGTGTGCAGCGCCCGTTCCCCACCAGGTATCAGCGTTTTTCACATTTTGGTAGG